CTCCACACGCTGCCCCGGCCCAAACGCCGCCCCGCAGCATCCAAGGGCTGGGAACCTGCGGATGGGGCAGTGAACAGAGCCGCCTGGCCGCACCTCCGTGTGGGAGCTGGAGCAGGGACATGCCACTGCTTCCAGGAGCTGCTTGAGGTAAGCGCTGCCCGAAGCCTGCACCCTGACCCCCTCCCACGCCCCAACCTCCTGCCCCAGCCCTGATCCCCCTCCCACCCTCCGAACCCCTCATTTCTGGGGCGGCAAAAAACGTAGAGCCACCCCTGACTCCAGAGCCTGCACCCCCAGCCAGAGCCCTCACACACCCCTGCACCCCAACCCCCTGTCCCAGCCCGGAGCCCCCTCCTGCACCCTGAACCCCTCATTTCTGGCCCCACCCTGGAATCAGCATCCCCAGCCGGAGCTTTCACCCCCTTCTGAACCCCAACCCCAAGCCAGCCTGGTGAAAATGAGCGAGTGAGTGAGGGTGGGCAGAGGGAGGGGCGGATGGAGTGAGCAGGGGCAGGGCGAGGGTGTTCGGTTTTGTGTGAGTAGAAAGTTGGCAGCCCTGCTCTGTCTCATTCTCATGCTGGATCAGTCTGTGGCTCTCGCCTTAGCTGTGACAGAGGCAGAAAGAGTATAATCTCTTCGCTCCCATGCCGGTGACAAGGCTGGCCCATGTGTACAGGCAAACAGACCCACTCCCTATACTCAGCACAGACAGTGCCTCCTCTCAGCGCCTCATCGGAGCAGATCACTCACAGTGGCACTGCTGTTCCGATGGAATTAGGGTGACCAGACAGCAAGTGTGAAAAATTAGGACAGGGGGTGGGGGGTAATAGGAGCCTATATAAGAAAAAGACCCAAAAATCGGGACTGTCCCTATAAAATCGGGATATCTGGTCACCCTAGATGGAATCTCCTCTTCACTGGGCATTCCCCTTCCTGGGGACAAAGGGCCAGCACCACACTCTGCTCCAGTGCAGGGGCATTCTTCCTGCATGGATTGGGGAGGTTAATCAGGCGTCCTGGGTTAACACATTCTTCTCCCTTGGCTCTTCTGAAATAAACCAAGATACTGAAAACAACTGTTCTTCACCTCCTGCCAACCTGCCCAGTTCCCGCCCGTCCGGGCAGTGCCTCAGAGAAGATGGACCTTGTGGCACACCCTGTAGATCAGCCAACGCAGACTGTCAGACTGGCTGTGAGAGCAAATTGCTAAGGTCCCAATGCCAGGCCTCCAGTGGGTCATGGGAAGAGATGGCCTCTCATCCAAGCTTCACAGGGATCAGTATTCAGAGGGAACCCCTTGAATTTCTCTCGGAAGCAAAGAGGAAGCCATTGTCAGAGAACCACTAGTATGCTGGACTCCCTTGCGCTACTGGCACTGAGCAAGGGAGCAGCCGCGCTCTGCACTAACAGCAGGCTCGGGCTAGGCTTCAGGGGCTGTGCACGTAGAGCACATGGTAGGAATCCAGTCCCACAGTCACACATACGGTGCCATGTTCCGCTCTAACAGGCGAGACACTGGAGTGTCCACATTCTTGTTGCGTGCCAGGTCCTGACCCAGAAGCCAGTCTGGCAGGGTTCCTGGGATTTTATGTTCTACAAGTTACCCCAGCTTTCTCAGTCTCGCCCTGTCGGGTGTTCTCTCTCACCGCCAGGCTGAGCAGCTTCCGTTGGACGGTGCCTGCTAACGGAGAGGTTGTCCTGAAGATACACTTCTCCTCCACCGTGGCAGGGCAGTTTGATCAGACCCTGAACTTCGAGATCCTGGGCACGCGCCGGCAGTACCAGCTTTACTGCAGAGGCACCTGCACTTACCCGACCATCAGCCAGGACCCCAGGTCAGTACCTGCGTGCCGGGTAAAGCTGCTGGGCTGCTCTTCTGAGGGCTAGAGGGAGCCTGAGCTGCTGAATCTGACACCACCTTCCAGCCCCTAGACTCACAGTGGGGAAGCTGTGGCAGCTCACCCAGGGCCCTGGGTGATCACTCAGGTGACCAGCATCACTGCCCCCAGTACCTGAGCTGGTTCGCTCGCGTATGTCACACCCCGCCTACAGCAGAGACATCCTCTTCGTTGTTGTAACTCACATGTCAAGGGGCCAGAAGGCAGGAGAGTAGGAAGTAAAGCACAAAATTGGAGGAGAAGAGACTAGGCCAGTTCAAGTGGGACACCCCAGCTTTAATTTACACCGCGTGCAAGCTCCTCGGTGTTGATCTCCCTGGCCTGTTGGTGAGCGGTGTCAGTCATGGACTCTGAGAGTAACTGAGTCGGGGGGAGCTGGTTCCAATAAGGGTAGGTGAGACCCAAACACATCCACATTACAGGGCTGAAGCCTTGAGCTGTCTGGGCTTTAAATATGGTCAGGGGAAAACAAGTAGCTACTTATGTGACCCTCCCAGTAGCTGAATACCTCACATTCTTTGATGGATCTATCCTCACAACATTCGTGTGCAGCAGGGCACTGCTATTTCCCCATTTTACATATGGAAGTCAAGGACAGAGTCTAGAGTTGAACCCAGGTCGCTGAGGCACTAGTCAGTGTAACCACTGTCCTAACCAGCCTTCTTCTCTAGCTGCTTCCTGCACTCCTCTTTTAACCATCTTCTCCCAGCTTCAGGGCACACCCATATTGTAACTGGTCTCCTGCTTAGATGAAGTTCAAGGGAATCCAACCTGCACCACTCTTTCTACATCACTTCTGATGAATCCCAATCACCAGCTGAGTACTTAGGGTACAGGGGCAGGGAACAGAAACGCAAAGTCAGGAGAGTTTTACTGTATAGGAATGGCTGAACCTTGCATGGGACAAGTGGTGGATTTGTGGTCACGTTTGCACGGGAAAGAGTCTGCTTTCTGGCCTTGAGTACATTCAGCATGAGCCTCCAGGCAATGTGAGTTTGTACCAATACTTGTTGCGTGGGAGGAGTGTGGTGTCTCTTCTCAGCGAGATGCGGGGTAGAACTGGAGCAGGAAAGAGGCTTGGCCTTATGCTGGTAGGGCAGGGAGGGAGGTAGAAGGTTTAATATCATCCTCTATGCCTGAGTACAGGATGCTGGGCTTGATTCTGCTCTTCCTGAGGGCGCTAAGGGTTACAGGTGACCTGGGAAGTCTGTTTTGTGGAGGATTTTTGATAGCTTGAAGTTTGATTTTGTTCTGATTTGAACTGAAAACCAAACGTCTCCAAATTCTTGGTGACAAAGACTGAAGACTCAGCTCTGGGCAGGCCATGTGGAAGCCAGGGCTGCTGAGGAGTTGGGTGGGTAAGCTGGCAGGAAACCACACAACGTTTTGATTTCATTGCATCGGCAGATTAAGATGAGAGAATGTTTCACCGAAATTTATCTGGCTACCTCTAGCTACAGGCTTGTTAGCTCCTGCAGCTCCTCACACTAGTCTTCTTCTCTGCTATAGGGTGGTATTTCCCCACCGGAGGAAGAGTGCGAAGCCTGACGACATCATCTTCAAACAGTACGTGATGAGCTCAGGGGTGTTCCACTTCGGCCCCTTGCTCTGTGGAAAGTCGAGAGACAGGTACCAACAAAAGGAGCAAGAGTCTAGTCTCCTAGCACTGCTGCATGTTATGAATGACGCCTTATTATTCTGAGTGGCCCAAAGAGTGCTAGGCAATGCATGTTAACTACGGGAGGTGCTGCCCCTGCCCCCAAGGGTTTGCAATCTAAATGCAGGTGGGGACTGGCAAGAGTCATAGACAGAGACAAAGAGAGGAGTGGGGGAAAGAAGAGGGAGGACATTCATGAGCTCCCATGATTACCCAGCAAGGCATGTACCTGTTTTGATAATGAGAGATTCCTGTCTGTGGGCCAAATCCTTACTCAGGCAAAGCAGCTCTAGTGACCTAGTGGCTAGCACACGGGGCTGGCACTCAGGAGACCGGGGTTCTTTTCCTGGCTCTGATGCTGCTTTGCTGAGTGACTGTGGGCAAATCACGTCCCCTCTCCGGGCCTGCGGTTCTACATCCGTGTAATGGGGATACACTGACTCCCTTTGTAAAGCACTTTGAGATCTACTGATACGAAGAGCTGGGTGTGTTGTAATAGACGCATGTTATTGGTCATGAACAATGTGATTAGTCAGCATGTCAGATTTGGCCCACAGTGTTGGAGGCTTTTCTTTTTTTTTTTGGAAAGGTGACCTGCAGAGAAATAAACACTGGCTTCCTGCCCTTTCCTGGTGGTGGTGGGAGTTTGTTTTGGAGGTTCTAGCTATGCTAGAAAGTTTTACTTTTGCTGCCGACATTGTTACGTCAGTAGAGCACATGCCCACTTGGCTGCTTTTGCCAGTGCTGTGCATCCTCAGGCTGAGAGCCTGTAACGAGGTTTTGAGCTGTTGCTGTTACGGGGCGGGGAGGGTGATTAATGCTGTATTATTGTTGTTGTTTTTAACGTTAAAAAGTCAGTTCTTTTCTGCTTGGGAACTCTATGGATGACTGGAGAAGTAGTGGTGGTTTGTTGTCCCATGCAATTGATATCTAAGCAAGTGAGAGACAAAGGGGATTTGTAGTGTGATGATTTTAACATGCTGTGCTTTTCTTTTGATTCTTAACCACTTAACACCAAAACCTATTTCATACTTTGGAGAACAGGAGGCCTTTCTCTAGGATCCAGCATTTCCTCTCCCACCCCTTTCAGTTAAGGTGCAAACACACACCTGAAACATCCAGCAAAACAGGGAACCCAAGAAATCTCCTGGTATTTCTCAAGTGAAAACCAAGCAGAAAAAGTGAACTAGTTTTAAACGATTTTTAAAAGCCTATCAGACCTTATTTATTCCTCATAAAGAAGCAAAACAAAAACAAAAAAAGCCACAAGCCAGATTGATTTTTGGCACTTCTCCTGCGAGTGGCCTCTGTAGAGTCAGGTGATCCCACTAGCGACGCTGCAGGGGTCACTCGCAGGACTCAGTGACAAGGAACTAACCCTCCGTTCTATGATGTTCCTTATACCAATGATGATTACGATGGGGCTATTTTATAAGGCTGTTTTTAAAACAGGATATGGTGCGTGTACAGATGCATGAAAGGAGGTGCTGTATCTGTGGCATAAAAAGGGCGAAGGTGCAGCACTTTCTCGGGCCCGCTGTCTCTTCTACAGTGCATTTCATTTGCAGATACAAGGCCCTCCGATACCCCAACAACTCCGAGAAGATAACCATCCTCAACGCATCCCCTTTGGAAGCGGAAGTGTTTTTCTGCTTCCAGCATGACATCAAGGCAAATACATACCTCTTGGATCCTCCCACCATGATGCTGAAACCCAATGAGAAGCAGGTAGGAGACAAACAGGTATCACAGTCTCGCGAGATTTGGGAGCCGTTTTCCCCTCTGAATGATGCCCTGTTCTCTCTCTCCTTCTCTGGGGTGCCGTGCCAGGAGCTGAGCATATGGGCGTACCCTACTGCACCTGGCATATTTGATGACAGCATCGTCTGCTGCATTAAAGAGAATCCAGAGCCAGTGCTCTTCAGAATCTGCTGCCAAGGGGTGCGTCCCGAACTGGAGCTCGACCGCAAGCAGTTGCATTTTGAGAAGCTGCTGCTGCACAGGTTGGGATTCCGAAGGGCGATCAGAACATAGTCTGGAGCCTGCTCCTCGGGCTTATTTTGACTCAAGGGCTTGCCTTTTATCTCCAGTTTCTTTCCTCATTCACTCCGGGTACGTGTACACTGCAGCTGGGAGGCGTAATTCCCAGCACTGGTGGACATCCGTGCGCTAACTCTCCTCAAGTTAGCATGCGGAATCCAGCAGTGTGGCTGGGGCAGCATGAACTGGTCACCCAGGGGGTCGGGCAGGGTTCGTTTGTGCTGCTTTGGCCCCACTGCTATTGTAGGCAGTAGCTAGAGCAGAGCTAGCACGTGTCTGTGTCCCCAGGCTGGGAACCACACCTCCCCACTGCACTGTAGCTGTATGCTCGGGGCGAGGGCTCTTCACGGCACCCTGCCTGCCATTACTGCCTAATCTGACGGCTGTACTGGGGGGCCAGTGCGCGGGCGCGCATGCTGAGGCCTGTTCCCCGGCTCTGGGTCTCTCCCCTCACTTGGAGCGCTACCTGGGCTGCACGTTCCAGGCTGTGTAATGGGGGAGCCCCAGCTGCTGCTGTCTGCTGCGGTGACCTGAGCATGGGAGCTGCGGCCACTCTGGCACCAGCCGCTGCAGCTGCTCTTGAGGGGATGCCACATGCTGGGCTCCCGCTCCCCCAACATCTCCTTCTCTTCCCCTCCACACCTCATCCCCCCTCCCCCGACATCTCCTTCTCTTCCCCTCCCCACCTCATCCCCCTCCCCCGACATCTCCTTCTCTTCCCCTCCCCATC